ACAATCTACTGCCGTAAAGATTCACTGTCTCGGAGTATGGCAATTCCTTAAAAAGTTGGAATTAGAAACACCATTTGACCCAGCAATTCCATTACTAGGTATATATCCTAAAGAACTGAGAGCCAGGACAAGAACAGTTACATACACACCCATGTTCATCACAGCACTATTTACAATAGCAAAAAGATGGAAACAACCTAGGTGCCCAACAGCAGAAGAATGGATAACCAGACTATGGTACACACACACACAATGGAATACTATGCAACCCTAAATAACATAGAACCTGCAAAACACCGCATAATGCAGATGAACTTGGAGGACATTATGCTGAGAGAAATAAGTCAATCACAGAAGTACAAATATTGTATTAGTCCATTAGTGTAAAAAGTCAAGGAAAGGTTTATATATGGAAGGAAACTTTTGTTAGTTACCAGGGGTGGGAGGGGAGGGGAGGGAACACTGTTAGATAGAGACAAGAATTGATGTGGGTGAAGAGAAGGGCAATGAGTGATCAACACGGTGGCACTGAGGAAGAGGAAGACATAGAGAGGTACATACAACAAAAAGGAACCCTCTTGCATGTATAATACTGCATTGTCAGTGAAGGCAAACACTGATCTATGGGTGGATAGATGGGTGGGCAGGCTGAACTATTAGGAATGTCTATGCAGGGGGGAGGATTCCCAAGACCATGTATAGGGTTGGCAGACAAGGTTTCTACAAGTATATTTGTATGTTCTGTAAGAATTCCCAGGTATATAGTAGAGCTGACAAGAGACATGGTTATAGTCACTTCTTGGCCACAGCCAGCTACCCAGAGGGGGTGAGTAGTTGGACCTGTGGACTCAGGACCATAGTCACAGGGGACATCAAGCTCAACTGGCATAACACACTACACAAAACATTGTTCCACCTCCTACTTTGGCGAGTAGTGACTGGGATCTTAAAAGCTTGTAAGCGGCCATGTAGATGCAATGATGGGTCTCTCCTCGTCCAGAGCAAAGAAGAATGAAGAAAACCAAAGACGCATGGAAAGTTAGTCCAAACGACTGGTACACCATAGGATCTGTACCCTGTATGACCAT